TCGACAGGTTGCAGGGCCTTGTCAGCATCAAAATGGCCAACAACAAGCTCTCAGAGCTACCGAGTTACTTTGGGAACTTCCAGTATCTCAGGAGTCTCAATATCTCCTCCAACAACTTCCAAGTCTTTCCTCCTTTCCTCTCCAATTTGAAGAGCCTGGTGGATCTTGATATCAGTTTCAACAACATCGCTGAGCTGCCAAATATCGGAAAGCTGGCGACACTGGAACGAATCTGGATGACGAATAATATGCTGAGCGGGCCATTGGATGCGACATTTAAGGACCTTGTTAACTTGAGGGAGATTGATGCGCGCTTTAATGCCATTACCAACATAGACATTCTGGCGCAACTCCCTCGACTGGAGCAATTGCTGATTGGGCATAACGCGGTCTCGAAATTCAGAGGGTCGTTCCCCAAACTGCGGACCTTGCTCCTCGATCATTGCCCAATGACACAGTTTGACATTGATGCGCCAGTGCCAACGCTGACCTCGCTCAACATTGCCTCCGCCAAGCTTGTGCAGTTCCGGGATTCGTTGTTCGAGAACCTACCTAACCTGACCAAACTGATTCTTGATAAGAATCATTTTGTTTCAATGTCACCGCATATTGGAAAACTTCGTCGGCTGGAGCAATTCAGCATGATCAAGAACCCCCTGGCCGCGCTCCCCGCCACCATCGGATGCCTGACCGAGCTTAAATATCTCAACCTGAGGGAATGCAATCTGAGAAGGCTCCCGGCCGAAATTTGGCATTGTGTGAGATTGGAGACCCTCAATGTCTCATCAAACGTGCTGGACAGCTTCCCCAAACACGGCAGTTCTCCACCTCAGCCACCTAGCGACACGGGAATTACACCTGCAGCAACTCCAGGGGGCGCCACAACACCAAGTTATGAAGATCTCTGCCCTGTTCAGGAGCAAGATGGGCTAGAAACCCGTAGACCCAGCCAGACGTCAGGAGGCTTTTTCAGCTCCGGAGGCTCACCAAATGGTGGGACTTATCGCAAACCGTCCGTTGCTTCGTCTCTTGGCCAAAGCGGGAGGAAAGTGTCGGCAGCTTCTCGATCGGGCACCGAGGGCAGTCCTTCTTCTAGGAAAGATTCAAATTTCTCTCAGCACATGGCGACAACGTTTGCCGGCTCTCTACGAAATCTATATCTTGCAGACAATCGGCTAGAAGACGATATTTTCCGCGAGCTGGCCTTGATTCCAGAGTTACGCGTCGTCAATCTGTCGTACAATGAATTGACTGAACTTCCGCAGGGCCTGCTCAAGCGCTGGCCGTTCCTGACCGAGTTGTACCTTTCAGGCAATGAGCTGACCTCGCTTCCTTCCGATGATCTTGAGGAAGGAAGTAACCTTAAAGTTCTGAACCTGAATGCAAATCGATTCCAGGTTCTACCAGCAGAACTATGCAAGGTCAGCAAACTTGCAATCTTGGACGTTGGGAGCAATGCTTTGAAGTATAATGTGTCCAACTGGCCTTACGATTGGAACTGGAACTGGAATCGAAATTTGAAATACCTCAATTTCTCTGGGAACAAACGCTTAGAGATTAAACCAAACATCACTTCGGCGGGGCCGACCACCGCCAATGGAACCGACTTGACTGATTTCAACTCACTTACCCATCTCCGGGTCCTCGGTTTGATGGATGTCACGCTCACAACACCTACCATTCCTGAGGAGAACGAAGATCGACGTGTCAGAACGTCTGCTTCACTTGCCGGGTCTCTGGCTTATGGCATGGCTGATTTTTTGGGTAAAAGCGAGCATCTGTCCATCATCGACATGATCGTCCCGCGTCTGAAGCCGGACAATGTGGAAACGCTTGTAGGGTTGTTTGATGGCCAAGCTCAGTCAACGGGGGGCTCTAGGATTGCCAAGTTTCTCCATGAGAACTTCACCTCGACCTTCTCTTCGGAGCTTAAAAGACTACGAGTGGATGAACAAGAAACACCGCTTGATGCGCTACGGCGGACATTCTTGGCGTTGAACAAGAACATGGCTGCGGCTGCCTACAAGTCTATTGACGACCGTAGTGTTCGGCAATTTCACAGAGGATCCTCAGCTACAAAACTCCTCAATCAAGACGACATACGGTCTGGTGGGGTTGCAACTGTGTTGTATCTGAATAACATGGATCTGTATGTCGCCAACGTTGGTGATGCGCAGGCGATCCTTGTGAAGTCAGACGGGACGCTGAAGTATCTAACTAAGAATCATGATCCCGCGGAGCCCCATGAGCGAGCCAGAATCCGGGCTGCTGGAGGATTTGTCTCTCGCAACGGAAGGCTGAACGACATTCTTCATGTGTCAAGAGCCTTTGGTCACTTTCAGCTGATGCCCGCAGTCGTTGCAGCGCCTCACACCATGCATGTCCAGTTGAATGAACAGGATGAAATGATCATCCTGGCGTCGAAGGAATTGTGGGACTACGTGACGCCAGATGTGGTCGTCGATGTCACCAGAGCGGAGCGCAGGGACCTCATGATCGCTGCTCAGAAAATCCGGGACCTGGCTATGTCCTTTGGTGCTAACAATAAACTCATGGTGATGATTCTCGGTGTGAGTGACCTAAAGAAGCGGGAGAAGCTCAAGTTTCGTGGAACAAGTCTCTCGATGGGGCCTCCTGCTTTTCCCGAGGAACAAATCATCCCCAGCACGAAGCGTACCAAGAAACCGCGTGACATGCCCGGCGATTCGAGACTCGCCCGCTTCGATTACGTGGATGCTCCTATTGGAGAGTTGGCCATCATCTTCACAGATATCAAGAAATCGACGAGTCTGTGGGAGACATGTCCCGACGCGATGCGCTCCGCGATTCAGATACATAACGATATCCTTCGTCGACAACTTGGAATCATTGGTGGCTATGAAGTCAAGACCGAAGGTGACGCTTTTATGGTCGCCTTTTCCACCACCACAGCAGCCCTGCTCTGGTGTTTCAACTGCCAAACCCAGCTTTTGGAGGCCGAATGGCCCACCGAAATCCTTGAACAGCCTCAGTGTCAGGTCCAGTACGATATGGAGAACAACATCATCTTCCGGGGTTTGTCTGTCCGCATGGGTATACATTGGGGAGAGCCTGTCTGTGAGAAAGATCCTGTTACTAATCGCATGGATTATTTCGGTCCCATGGTCAACCGTGCATCACGTATCTCCGCAGTCGCCGACGGTGGTCAGATTTTCGTCTCGTCGGACTTCATGAGCGATATTCAGCGCAACCTTGAAATGTACGCCGACAGTGAACGGGCCGCTTCTACTGGCTCGGAGGAAAGCTACGCGGTCGATAGTTTGGGGTATAACATTCGTCGTGAACTTCAGCAACTCAACAGCCAAGGATTCGTTATCAAAGACCAGGGTGAGCGGAAGTTGAAAGGCCTGGAGAATCCGGAGCCACTCTACCTCATATACCCTCACTCGCTTTCCGGCCGATTGACCACGCTGGAACAAGCAGAATCGAGAGAGAATGGCCCCACGACCATAAGTAAACATTCCCAGCTCGAAATTCAGACGGATCTCATATGGCGCCTATGGGAGCTCACTCTTCGCTTGGAACGACTATGCGGTGCGCTGGAGAATCCAGGCGAAGCGCGGCTGATGGAGCCGAACGTGGCTTTGTTTAATCTGGTCAAGAATCACGGTGGCGAGCTTGCCGATTCGACGGTGGTGAGTTTAGTCGAACAGCAGGTGACTCGCATCGAGGTTAGTGCGCAGCTTTGATTTCTCTAGCTTCTTCTTCTTTCCCTTTTGATTTTTGTCAGACCTGACGTCTTATGCGTCTTACAGATGAACATTACGACTCTCTCAGTGCGATACATGCTGAGACCCTTCAAACCCGGTGACAAACTAAGTGACCACGCCGTCCCTATTGGTGAGGTGATGCAACAACTACAAACCCAACTTGCCGAATACAGAGCGCTCAAGGAACAACTGGCCGTCGGTGCTGCGGGCATCACTGGCGCCTCATCCATCTCTACAGGAGCTGAAGGCCAGGAGACTGGCGAGAGCGATCCCAGCTCCGCATCTTCGTCCTTCCTCCAACTTGCTCCAACCCTGGAGTAGCGCTATCTTACATGACCTCGATGTGGAACGTACTTCTGGACATTTGTCGCATAACTGTTTATATAACAGATTAGTTCCCTTGTTGTTATATCCAAGCTTTGTTTTATATTCATTCATTTACATATGAGGGGCGTCTACTAGGGTGGTCGTTTCTCACTGGCTTTGAAGCATTGGTGGGTGCTAGAGGGGGTATTGGTTTTTGGCTGTTCCCTGTCGACTACTATTGCATTGGCCGTACTAGCCTGCTTGACTGAATCTATGCTATATCTAATCATCTCGCTGCAATGATGAAAAATCGCCCTGCCAACAATTGTTTTTAGTATCCCTCTTTCAGCAGGTGGTTTGTCCACGACGGATTTAAGTCATGTGACTATTATGGCTGTTGTGGCTTGATGATGGCGTGGCTAATCAAGCACGTGATTTTGGCTGCTTGTTTATTGTCATTTGATTGGATTGAGACCAGTCTGTCCACTCCCATAACCCGTCATCGGCCACCACACGGGTTCTCTTTTCGTCATCATAGCAGGCTTCTTCAACTTTGATTCAGCACACATCCATCCACCTCAGAATATTCTGGACACATGTATAACTGTTATCCTTTGATCTGTGAGACGATCTTGTATCTGCCTAAAGAGGAGACTCTGAGCACGACCCCTATTTGAATGATAGTCATTCCTTAGGCCCCGCTTGGTTGCCCTGGATACCATCTTCCACAGTATTAACTTCATTCAGTGTTTGAACTTTTTCTTGACGAGTAAAAACAAAGTGCAGAGAAAATCTCGACTCACGAATAAAGGACGCATTCTTTGAGCCCTTATCAGGCGCGTCTGATCCCGATCGGAATCTTCAGCCGTGCACCGCATTTTTTTATTGCCCGTTTCACTCAGCTCTTGCTCTGCTGGCAGCCCATCGCCAGCATCACGCTACGCCATGGCGGACGGACTGGAATATCTGTCCCCAGACTTCGACCTTAACACACTCACCGTCCCCCGCCTCCGCTCCATCCTTGTCAGTCATGATGTCTCGTATCCGGCCTCGGCGAAAAAGGCGCAGCTCATCCGCATCCTGGAGGAAGAAGTTCTGCCTCAAGCGAAAAAACTCCTGCGAGAGCGCGATAGGGTGAAGAGAACGAGCGCAGGTATCACAGATATGCCCAGTCGCGCGACATCGGTGGCTAGTGATTATGATGGACAACACGAAACCATTGATAGGGAGTCTATGCCTCCACCGCCGACACCGTCTACTGTCTCGACCGCGACGGGAACAAGAAGAGGCCGGTCGAGGATGAGCACGAGGGCGTCGACGGCCGATACTGAGGAGAGAAACGTACCGAGCACGCCGTCGATACTCACGAAGAAGAAGGTACCGAAGTCGGAGACCAAGCACGCGCGCGCTTCTGACAAAGACTTGCATGATGATGGCCCTGCGACACCTGTTACTCGGGACATGGTCACTCCACGCAAATCCACGGCTAGGAAATTGCGGAATAGTGAAATTGCTCGTTCGATTGAGCCCGAGCCACACACTGTCTATGTTAAAGCGGAACCAAAGGAGGACAGTGTCTTCACCGATGACAATCCATTTCAGAGTGGCAGCTCTCCTGGCTCAAGGAGCATCAGTCGTGATGTCAAACGAAAGACAAGTTCACGGCTTTCCACCGCCAGTCCTGCTTTCAGCCACGGACTAAGACCACGAAAGTCTGAGACTCCTTACGACCTCGATGATGATATTTCTAGAACGCCTACAAGATTACCTTTTGGATCTCCAGTCACTAAGGCCAGGTTACTGAAGGAGAAAGTTGAAATAGAGGATGAGGATGAAAGTGAGCTCAGTGCCGGCGAGGAATTTACGCCCGAGGAGCAATTAGCCTTGGAGGGACAACAGGCGGAGTTAATGTATCCAATGACTCCACGGATCCGACGCCGAGCTGCCAAGCAGAGTAAAGCAAGCAAAGCTGCTCCCTGGGTCCTCATTCTCTCTTTACTTTGGGGTTTCGGTGGTTGGTGGCGCAAGGAGAAGATTGAGATCGGGTACTGTGGTATTGGCAAGCCTACTTGGTCCCTGGCAGAAACCAGGGTGCCGGAATGGGCCAGTGTATTGGAGCCGCAGTGTGAACCCTGCCCTCCACATGCGTTCTGCTTCCCGAACTTCGAGGCGAGCTGTGAGCATGACTTCATTCTGAAACCGCATCCTCTATCGCTCGGAGGTCTGATTCCTCTGCCTCCCACTTGCGAACCTGACAGTGAAAAAGCTCGGCGTGTGAAAGCCGTTGCCGACAAAGCGATTGAAGAGCTCCGTGATCGACGAGCTAAATTCGAGTGTGGGGGGCGTCTAGAGGATGGTGAAGAAGTGATGTCTCCGGAAATGACTGAGCCAGACTTGAAACAGGCGATTGCACAGAAACGCCGTAGAGGCATGAGTGATGCTGAATTCGACGAGCTTTGGAAAGGAGCACTCGGCGAGATTGTTGCGAAGGATGAAGTTGTTACCAAAACAAAACAGTAAGTTACCTATGGGATATTTCTCTTCATTGACATTTTGCTTTCTTCCTTTCTCTGGGTGTCCCGTTCGTGCCCAGCCTAGCATGTATGCGAGCTCTTCTTTCATATGATACGGATCTGACATGTATACCGGAACTAACAGAGGCCGCAACGCAATCACAGACTCTCCGCTGTCCTTGTTCTCACATCTACCTCAATCGCACGGCTCCCCCTCACATGCGCCTTCCGCCGTCACATCCGACTCTCTCTCCTCGCATATCGACTCCCTCTTTCAATTTTGATTATTATGGTTCTGGGTTTGGTTTACGCTCGTGCAAAAATTCTTGCTCGACGATCCGATCTAGCTCGCGTCCCGGAGCTGGTAGCGACTACGCTAGATCGCCTAGCGACACAAGCAGCGCTACATGCTCGCGGTGAGGCGAAGGAACCGTACATTCCCATTGGTCAGTTGCGTGACGACGTTCTCCGCTCTGAGCTCCACGGCAGGCGACGTGAAGAGCTCTGGAGGCGGGTTCGCAATGTAGTCGAGGGCAATGCCAACATTCGCGCTGCGGTCCGCGAGGGCCGGGGTGGAGATGTTGCGCGGGTCTGGGAATGGATCGGGGGTATTGGCGGCGTTCACGGCAATGCTCTCGAGAGCAGCGCTACCCGACAACGAGAGAGTAACCACCAACTGCCCTACTCGTCTCCATCGAGCGAGGGCAACCGCCCTCCGGTCGATCAACATCAGTTGACGCCCAGAAGTCCTGGGGAACTTCGCCGTTGGGACGAAGGTAGACCCGTCTATTAAGGGACTACGGGGTATGTGGATCTTTGAGCTGAACTACAGGTATTTTGGTTCATTTTTTTGGGTACTTTTATCGGGCTTTGCATGTACAGTATTGAGTTTCATGTTTCCCCTGCCAGTATATCTATCAATACGTCCTCCTGTGCATAACTTGCTCGTCTTTGGTTTCCTGGCATTTCCTCGGTCTTTCTCGAAGCACCTGGCCTGATGTAGTACACGCACAGTTACCTGTGTACAGGAGCTCAGGAGTTTCAACCCCTTTACCTGGCTTCGCAGATGTGATATGACACGCCCTCGGATGTCGGTCGTCCTGATACCCTATTCCGAACCTCGGTTTTTGAACCAACGGCGGATGGTGTTGTCCAAGCGCCACGCCCCATTCAGAAACCACCCATGTGGCCAGGGGCGGTCAATTCGATCAAGAACTGCTTGCTAGGTTCTCATTCGTCAGATCTTCATTCGAGCTGCACCCACGATCCCAGAGTTTAGGTTGAATACCCTGGTTGTCTGGCGTGATCGTCGCCTCTGTTTTCGCTTGGTTTCGCTTTTGGTGCGAAACGAATTTGCCACCAATGATCAACCGGCCATGCGCAGAGTACTCCGTGAATTTATTCCCTCGCCTCTCCTGGCCTGGCAACCACAACTCGCGCGTTCCATCGAGCGGAGAAGACCATGTGGTCAATTCCACTTTGGACGATTGTGCCTACGATTTTTACCTATCATCCAGCGTCCGTTGGAAAAGGTGGGGGACTTTTGCCACAGCCGCAAGCCCGCAAGGACAGTCGCTTCGGCTGCGGATACCTAGTCTATGCCCCACAAGATTCAATTGAGTGATAATACCTCCCTACTCCGTAGAGAATTAAAGCGCACCGTTAGCCATGAGTGAGTCCGCAAGCTGCCAATCAGAATCAGAAAGGCCCCGTTCCACATTGGTGGACTCAGTTGCTGAAGTAGGTAGTCTACAGATAACACAAATCAACAGTGTCGAGTTTCTTGGGGGTTCTTGGCGCTGGAATTTTCGCTTTTTTCACGGCCACAGCCCAATTTCCTGACCGATTGACTACCACAGCAGTTCATCGGTCCACATGTCCAGGAAACGTAACGGATCGTTTGTGGGAAATTCCTGTGTAACTTGTTGATGGCGTAGGTGGCTCTTCCTTTAGACCAAGTCTTGGCGCCTTAGGCCAGAAGGGGGCGGCAAGGCAGAAAAAGCAGTACGACCTGCGTATGGCCAGCGCCCACATTTCACGTGAGCGTCATCGAGTTACGTTAAGGTACCTTTGAAAAAACGCAGCAGGTGATCTACGTCAGCACCAGCCAGCCAAACCTCAGTATGGCGCATTCGACTGTTCAAATTCATAGTCCACCATAGGGCGGTACAGGCGGTGCCTTGATCCTTGGTTGCCTACCATGGTTGGTGGTTCTGATATGCGTGGGGATTTGCGGTGCGTTTTCGACTTTCGATAGGGATTGGATAAGCTCGTGTACGGAATGGGCCCGGGAGCACTGCATATCTAGCTAATCGTGGATCAATCCATCATGCAACCGAAGCAGAACCCCTTTCTGATCAAGATGGTAGCCCCTCGCGTCTGGCGGGGCTCGCAATAATTGTTGTTATTGTTTCTTTTCGGCCCAAAGAAGCCCGCGCCCATTTCAACTGAAACCATCCGCCTCGCGCGAACTACGGAATATCTCTGCTAGCACCCTATCATATCAGACGGATATTTTTTCCGTGACGACAAAGTTAGGGAACTATTGCGGAGCATTCGACGCCCACAGGGGGCCACAACTTCAATAGTGCAATATTTGCTGCTACAACCAGAGTAGACGACCCGAAATGGAATGCAGAAAGTGCCTCCCGTGGACATCGGTCTAAATTCGGCATTCCTCAGATGGAACGGATCCGGAAGAGAGATTCCTGGGTTTCGAACGTTGCACGCAGATGATTCAAGGGAAATAGCGGCGGATTCAGTCATGATTAGGAGGAGGGAAGGAGGAGGGGTGGGTTTTGGAGCGGGAGAATGGAGGTGCGAATATATGGAGTCTACAGCCCTGCGTTCAGGACCTGGCGCTCGCATTGCTCTTACCACGATTGCTCAATCGCCCTTGCTTGAGGGTACCTGTCTGCCTATCAGAGTCTGACACTCTACCTGGTCCTCGATGCTCCGCTTCAGAGCGATTACTGGGACTCTGGTCATTGGTTCAGCCAAGCTGAATGCTCCATTGGCGCTTTTCAAGCATTCTCATTGATGGGCCAGCTGCCCCCAGGATCTGGGCTAATGCTTTAAACCCGCATTCCCTCCTGGAGGGAAGAGGCTAAGAGCGGCAGCACTGTCCACGCTTGACAACTGTCTCCAGATTCACTTTCCTTTCTCTGCAGCCTGAAAGATTAGGGGTCTTCGACCCGAAAGGCGCTTAGGCACGATTGCTTGAAGGGCCCTTCCACTTACCAGTTACCATATCCAACCCTTGTGAGTCTTTTGAGTCTTTTGGTTAGACACTCCCTCTACCCTATTCTTCACCATTGTTAGGCTCTCAAACTACGGAGTAAAGGTTACCCAACCTCCTGGAAGGGTTGGAAAGTCGGGACGATCCACGGCAAAGTGGGAACGGCCCGCGGATGAGGCAGACGTGTCAAAGCTCACAATCCCATTTAAAAGCTTCATCTTTTTCTTTTGGTTTCCTTTTCTCCGCCTCCCTCAAGCTTCTTCGTTTCCGACCCCTTTTCTTTTCATTTCCTTTGGGATACAATGTTGATGATCAGTTCCGGAAACTGATCAGTGTTGACGGTTCACTCCAATCTCGCATTTTGGAACAGATTATTCTGCATTTCTGCCCACTTAACCACCCACCTGCATGCCTCTACTGACACTTGGACTGGACGAGTCAATTATTTTGGTGTCGATCTATTCCTGCTGAGGCTGAGAACCGCTGCCCCAGTTCGCCTGAAGCATTAAGCATCGTCGAATCGCCGAACCTGGCTTAGCGCTCCAGGGGACTTACCTTTTCCTCAAATGCTCTTCTGATGGAGAGTATGTACATATGGCCGTTCGAGCACTTGAGGTTTGGAGCACCCCCCTTGGAGAAGGAGTATGTTCAGAAGAAAACTCATTGTCCAGAGTCCAGTCTGGTCGTTCCTCCCTTAGCTCGCCTCTTCCGGTTCCTTGTGTTTTTCATATCTCTGTTCCTCATCAAATCAGACCATGTCTCACCAAGGGCCTCCTAGGCCTTTTCGCCCTATCGCTCCAAGAACCTTGTTAGATACGGCAACAGCGGGACCTGCTGCTGAGGAAAGTAAGATACGGAGAGCATCAACAGCTTGCACAGAGTGCCAACGACGTCGGACCAAGGTACCTTTCCCTTTCGAAGCTCGTCCCCTCTTTCGCAAGTCTCCCGGGTGTGAATGAATGCGCGGCATCTTGAACCTGCCCTTCTTTTATGGCCCCTTTTCTAGGTACACCATTCTGACATGCTGCTTTCTCTACTCGTTTTTAAAGTGTAGTGCAAACTCGACCGGTGTCCCATGTTCCGAATGCACCCTCCACGGCCGAGATTGCATCATCGACGAGTATGCCGACAAACGTCGTAAGGTGGTGCGAGATCGCGCCCAGGAGGAGTTAGCATACTATCGCGAGTTTGTGCAGCAGCTGCTGGCGGCCATTCGGCATGGCAAGCGTACAGACGTCGACGCCATTATCAATGTCATCCGGTCGGGAGCCTCGCTCGAGAAGATACACTTGATCGTCGCCCAATCACTGAGTCATACAAACGATGTCGATGGCCTTGAGATTACCGTCCCTAAGCTGAAAGTACCGGAAGGCGTATCTGCGGAAGCGTCTCCCGGTGACAAAGAGCCGAGTGGCGTGTCTGTGGAATCGTCTCCCGACGCTGGGCTGAGCACGGTGTTGAATAAAGATTCATGATCTGAAAATCAGTTCTGTAGGCCGTTCACGACGATGGTCTCCCTTTCTGCAGATGTCGTCGGTTTGTAGCATTGTTCCACCACCGTGTCAATGCTTTGCGAAATTAGAGTTCTTTCTTGGAGCTAAGCCTTGGCCGCATTCTTGTATAGCACAAGAAGAGGGTGACTACATGGCCGTTAGCCTTTGAAACATCCCTTGACATACTTCTAGTCTCAGGCCCGAACAGGATTACCATATGGGCTAAGACTGCCAATAAAGTGGCTTCCCGACCCTATCTTCATTCTTGTCTTTACCTTTCTTGCACTACCTTTTCCTGCTCCCAATCGATTAATTCATGATTTCATACTGCCTGGCCCGTTCAGTACCTGTCTCCCACCAACATGACCTTCCTCTTCCCACCCGCGTCGGTTGCCCACTCACTGGGAGCAGTGGGAATGTATCTGTCCTTTCAGACGCCATCGAACTGTGGAGTTGCAGCCGCGAGGGATGCATGTTGTGATTCAACCCTTCATTTGATCCAACCGCGCAAGTTGGCATCTACCGCCGCGAAGAGAGTGTTTCTGTTTATTGAATGTCGACAGCGCACAGGTGCAGGCTGGTTTGTCTCAATGCACGGAACGCATTCGACCTGTTGTGCCATGTTGCCCACGTGCTCAAAATACCATCCTAGCACCAGATCGATGGCCGTCGTCAATGGTTAGGCGTCGCCAACGACACGACAGCTCCATTCATTACTTGGCAGTCTTCAGACTGCACGAAGTTCTATCAGGGGCCCACTCGCTCACCCTGGAGAGCGTTCATTCATGGTCTTTTCTTTTCATTCCTGGCGTACGGGGGATACGTTGTGCATGAGTTAGTCTCAGACAATGTGGACGATCTCGATTGTTCGAGCCATTCTGATGATCTATCTATACGAAGCGGTCGTATTGCTCGGTCCAGAACAGCTCAGAATCTTTTCTCTGGTTCTCAATCTGTGTGGTCAAACATTGTGGCATGCCCAGTCCCGCTTCGCTCTCGGGGTTTCTATTGTACTTTGACTCATGTCGTCTACTCGGTGCGATGATGTAGCTAATTAGCCAA